CCCCCCCCCCCCCCCCCCAACGCTGGGGCCCCACAGCATTTATAATAACTTCTTTCTTTCTTAGCCCACAGGTCAGGAAGCAAACCTGGAATTTAACTTTGTATGGTACAGTTATATACTACCTGTGTTAACTGAGTCTTGAGCTAATTTAGATGTTAATTTCCTGAAATCCATTAGCCATTGTAATGAAAACATTTCCCAGCTTCCATCTAAAACATTTAAATCTTAAATGATTAAATACATAAACGTTTTCCACAGTCCCACGTGCTCCTGAGATTGACCTGGCGGATTGTTTGGTTGCTGATAATTGTGTAACTGTAGTGTGGAGGATGCCAGAGGCAGATGATAAAATTGATCACTACATACTAGAGTACAGAAAAACCAACTATGAAGGACCTCCTAGAGTTAAAGAAGAACGGAACTGGGATATCATTGATAATATCAAGGACACTGAATACATCTTAACAGGTCAGTTCTGCATTTAAAAGTTAAACCTAATGAGTGCAAAAAGCAGATGAGGTTCAATTTCTTTTCTTATTGAACATTTGTAGATGCACTGTCCATCAGAAGTTTGCAGTTTTGTTATTGATCCACGGTCTGCCCGTCTGAGCCATGATAATTAATAGCAACAGGTCAATGGTCATAAATTCACATCAAGAAACTTCTGGATGTTTGTTTTCAGGAAGTATTCTGGCTTAATGGCTCTGAACCTGCAAAAAGATACTAGTGTTAAATTCTTGCTTTGTGTGCCCCCATCCAAAAAAGTGAAGCTGAATGCAAATAGCTTAATTGCAATATTGCCTTGGGGAGTGTGATTCCTCTCTGTATCCTTGGATGTAGTATAGTTTCTAAAGTTACCTTCAGTGAATTGGGGAAAAAGTGACAGCATTAGCTTTAGTACTGTGGTGTGGAAGGCAGTCAAACCCTGAAGGGCTATCATCCTCTGTAAACTGCTGATACCTTATTTATCCCCCAAGTCTTCTGTCTTGGAAGGTTTTTACAAGAAAGAATTATTTTTCCGTTTCTTTGGGAGACCTTAAAGTGCTTAGCATCCAGTGATGTGCTTTTGAATTGAAGAGCTTGTTGCACTGGAAAAAATGGCAGCAAATATGTACATGGCAAGGCCCAGAAACATCAATATGATCAGTCTTTTTTCGTGATTTTGCTCCAAAAAAAATGTTAACATTGAATGAACTCTCCTGCTGTTTGATGCCTATGTCCTTTGTTTCCACCTTAACTTGTTAACTGTGTAGCTCCTTCTGTGTTGCACTAAGTGTCAACCTAAATTTTATGCTGAAGCTTCTAGAATCAGCTTTGGGCCAACTTTAATTGTGAAATATTTGACTTTGTTCTAATGCTGAACAACAGTAAATGGTTTTAAGTAAAAATTTGAAATACATTTAGGAATCCTCTTGTTGAAATGGATGTAAAAATACTTGGGCAACTAGCCATTGTTGGGGGGGAAAAGAATTGCCTGAAACAATATAATGTAGAAACTTTTTAACTAATCAGTTTACCATTTGTGCTACAGAGGTGTAATATAGAAACAGCCAGTTTGGTGGACTTCATGCAACTGTTCCAACAGTGATCTATCATTGGTTGAACAAATCAATGAGAGCTACAAGAGCAGGCAGTATATTTTGGGTGGAGGGTTTCGGTGATGGTGGGAAGAACTTTAATGACCATCACCAAAGTAGTTCAGTAGCATCTGAATGATGTACCTGTCAGATTCAGCCTGGGACTTGACTGGCCATAAATCAGTAAAATCATAAGATTACTCTCCAAAGCCTGAGAGCCATGAACACAAATCAGGTGTGTGACGGAATGCAGTCCTGTTTTATTTCCATCTTTGAGATTTGAGCAGAATTTGTTGCCCATCCCTAAAGTGCCTTTGAACTGAGTGACTTCTAGACAACATCCAAGGATAACGTGAGTCACCAGACTGCTGCAAATTCTCCTCCAAGTCATGCACCATCCTGATTTGGAACTTCTTATTGCTGTTCCTTCTCTATTTGGGAAAAATTGTATACTCCCTCCTAAAAGCATTAAGTGTACCTGCGCCAGGTGGCTTAAAACAGTTCAAGAAGGCAGCTCATCATCACTTTTTGAGCAAACTGAGATAGGTACTAATGCTGGCTTCTCCCATTCAATGAAATAATTTTTTTTTAAGCTTTCGGGCACATGTAGAAATCCAGCTATAGACTTAAGCTTCATTCAAACTAAGATTTCCATCTGAGGCCAAGGCTAAGTTACCTAAAACCTGTTCAACTGTCAGTTGAGAATAGTTAAATTCCTAGGCAGTGTTTATATTTCTTGCTTGTTACATTATCAAAGGAAATGATTGCTTAAATCTTTTGAGATCCATAGTGGTGAAATCGGAACCTGGGTCTGTGAAGAGTGCTGTGACCCAGTGGAGGTCCTGACATATGTATCTCCTGAAGGGAAATTTTCCACTCTTGGGATACTACTCGAATGTGTGTTAGACTGAGATTGGTGGGGGAGACTTGGGCCAGATATATCTGGTTTATGTGGATACTTTATCCTGATATGCTTGTATAAGTCTGATCAGTCAGTGTAGCTAAATAGAGCACCAGAATTGTTCACTGCCCACTGACTGTCTGGGAACATCACAATCACAATCTAACACACTGCTGTATCTCCACGTGCTTGGGGTGGGGGTGGGGGGGGTGGGGAGCCTTGGTCTGCAGTGAATGCAAAAGAATGGTCTTATGGTGGGAATGCAGAAGGAAATGTTTGTGCTTTGAATATTGAACTAATGAACATGGCGCTTGGTTCAATTATGAATTTTCCTTTTGTAATTCAGGGCTGAAATTTGAATCGAAATACATGAATTTTCGGGTCAGAGCATGTAATAAGGCTGTGGCAGGAGATTATTCAGAGCCAATTACCTTGGAAACAAGAGGTGACTACTACTATGCTGTGCTTTGCATTTATTCCCGATCAGTAATTTTAGCGTAGGCTTTAAATGGACACAGTGCACAGTCTGGAATTCTGGACTTTTTTTAGTATTTCCATTGTTCTGGATGTAAGGCCCAGACAAGATTACCTTGGTATATTGGGGTCAAATATGACACATCCTAAAATTTGAGCCTGGCCGTTCAACATTGGAATCAGAAATCTGAAGCTGAGGTGTAACTTTATAAAGGTTTATAAAATCATGAGGCACATGGATATGGTGAATATACAAGATCTTTGTCCTGGAATAGGGGGGTCCAAAACTAGACAGCATATGTTTAAGGTGAGAGGGGAAAGATTTAAAAAGGACCTGAGGGTTAACTTTTTCATGCAGAGGGTGATGCGTGTATGGAATAAGCTATCAGAGGAAGGGGTGGATGTGGGTGCAATTACAACATTTAAAAGGCGTTTGGGTGGATGTATGAATAGGAACGGTTTAGAGGGATATAAGCCAAATGTTGGCAAATGGTAGCAGGTCAGGTTGGAATGTCTGGTCAGCGCTGCCGAATGGGATCAAAGGGTCTGTTTCTGTGCTGTATGACTCAATGACTTATCTCTCAGCATGTCCAGCATCTACAGTTCTTTTGGTTTATTATAATAGTTTCTACAAGTTTTCCCTGACTGGTCTCTAATTGCTAGACTAATCTTTACAACATTTTATTGAACAAGAACATAAATGCTTGCAATTCTCCAGTTCTCTAATACCAGCCCTGAATCCAGGGAAGATTGAAAGGTTATTTCCAGTGCCTCTGCAGTTTCCACTTGCATCCTTCGGTATCCTTGAGTGCATTTTATCCAGTCCCAGTGTCTAATCCACTTTAACTGTCCAATATATATTATATATGCCTTAAATTTTAGTGACTAACAATTCCTCCTCCATCAACATATTCTGGGTAACATTGTTTTGTAGGTAAAGACTGATGCACAATATTCATTTAACACCTCAGCCATGCCTCTTGTCTAAGTGTAAATCCTTTTAAGTCCCTAACTCAGTCATCTTCATTTTACCACCCTTTAACACACGTGCGCTTGAAGAAAATTTTGACCTTTTCTTTGTTAGCTGCCAGCCTTTTTTCTTTGCTTCTCATATATTTATTTTCTCATCTCTATTCTGAAGTTAGTCATAGAGTCATGGAGTCATACAGCACGGAAACAGACCCTTTGGTCAAACCAGTCCATGTCGAATATAATCCCAAACCAGACTAGTCCCACCTACCTGCTCCTGGCTCATATCCCTCCAAATATTTCTTTTTCATGTACTTATCCAAGTATCTTTTAAATATTGTAATTGTGCCCACATCCGCCACTTCCTCAGGAGGTTCGTTACACACATGAACCACCCTCCGTTTAAAAAAAAATGCCCCTCATGTCTTTTTTAAATCTGTGTCCTCTCACCTTAAAAATGTGCCCTCTAGTCTTGAAATCCCCCATCCTAGGGAAAAGACACCTGTCATTAACCCTATCTATACCTTTCATGACCTTTTAAACCTCTATAAAGTCACCTTAAACCCTATGCTCCAACCTATCCAGCCTTTCTTTATGACCCAAACGTTTCATACCTGGAAAGGTTTTTTTAAGCTTCTCGAATAAAAAACACTTCAGCTGTTCACTGAATTCAGTTTGGTTCTCAACTGTATTTAGTGCCTGATGCCTGTCATGAGCACACTTTTTTTCACTTAATTTTTATCTCCCTTGCCATCCAAGGAGTTCTGGATTTGATTGCCCTACTTTCCTTAATGTGTCCAAGCCATGTCTCTTTGAAAGTAGCCCATTGTTCAGTTATTGTTTTTCCTGCCAACCTTCGGTTTCAGTCCATCCAGCCAGCTCTGTTCTAGCTCCAATGAAGTGTGTTCTATATTGACTAATGTCATTATTTTACCATCATCTTGAATGTCATCCTAAACCTATAATACAATAAAAGATACAGTAATTGCTGTCATTCTAAATAAAATCCCTCCTAAGCTGCATGTTTGCACCTCCATTAAGAAGTTCCATGCAAGCTGATTAGCATGCTAATGCATTAGCTTCTGTTTCCAGAACTTGCCGCTATGCGCAGACCTTGGTGGTCTGTGCAGCAGAAAATAAAATTAGAGAGAAACATACCCCCACGGTTGCTTGATCTACTTGGCCCATCATTCCCAAGTACAGGTCCAGCAGCACTCCACCTTCAACTGACCTATGCTGCTGTAAGAAATTCTCTTTAACACAATCTAGGAACGCTTGTTCCTAACTGCTCTGTACATTGTCTGTATATCAACTGAAATAGTGGTATTTAAAGTCCTTCAGTATAGTTACTCTGATGTTTATATGTCTATGAAATTTCCTTGCAGAATCTTTCCTCCATATCCTTCCCACTAGCTGGAGGTCTAATTATTACTGTGAGCAAAGTATTGCACACTGCTAATTCATTAGCTGTAGCCCACTCCTTTCTTGATCCCTCTGAAACATCCCCTTTTGCCAGTAATACAATGTTCTCCTTCACCAAAAGCTCCACCCTACTCCTTTTTGTTTGCCTTTCATATCTTTACTGAATACCAAAAATATTTAACATCCAGATCTGTCCATCCTTCAGCAGATCTCTTCACCACAGTATCATTATCCCACAAGGCAATCTCTGCCTGTGTCTCCCCAATCTTGTTAAACGTACTCAGTGTATTCATATACATACAGTGTAACCCTGATTTAGACTTCATTACTTTCTACTTTATGCCAACTTCAGCTGTTAACTTACTGTTCTTTACTTTAGTATTGTCTGCCTGTCCTCACATTTGGTGCATTCTAGTATCACTTCCTTGTATTCTCCAGGTTTCCACAACACTGCCGAGTTAATTTAAATCCTTTTCAATAGCCCTATCAAAACTCCCCGCAGGAAACTTAGTCCCACCTCTGCTCAGAATCAACCCATCCAGCATGTACAGACAACAGCCTCCAAGCCAGACCCAGTATCCAAGGATTCTAAAACCCTCTCCTGTCTTATTTCTGTACTGACTTGCACATGGCACTGGGAATAATACGGAGATTACTACCTTTGAAGACCTCGCTTGCTAACTTTTTTTGACAAATTTCCTAAATTCTGATTGCAGGACCTCCCACACCTATGTCAGTAGCAATGTGGGCCATGATGTATGACTCTTTGTGCTCCCCCAGTGTCTGGTACTGTTCTGTGGCATTCCTGACCCGAGCGCTTCCCTGAGTCAGATTGGCAGCTGCAGAAATGTATTTCTGTTCCCCGAACTAAAGAATCCCGAATCAGTACTACCTTTCTCTCTTCTTCCTCCCATCCTTTACAGCTGGGCCACCCATGGTGCCATGAGTTTGGTTTTCTCTGCACTCACAAGGACCCATTGACCTTGTGAACATCAAGAACAGAAAATTGGTAGCAGGATCTCTGGACTTTCCTGCAATACCTGCATGTTTCTCATGAGCTGCCGGGAAGTCACTCACTCCCTATCTGCCTGCTTGCACCTATCCCACGGTGTGAATGCCTCACCTGTGATATTTATTTTTCCACCATGCCACTCAAATCAAGTTTTCTGAGGCTATAAAGCAAAAGGCCTCCAATTTGTAGTTTTGATTACATTGTCTAGTTATGTTTGGGTATTAGCCTGTTTAACCTTTTACATTTGACCTCTGTCAGTGGAATATTGTTAATCCAGATTTGTCAGTGGTACATTGTATAATTTAAAGTTTATATATTATACAAATTATGTCGGTATATGAAAAAGGTGAAGTCTTTTAAGTTGCTAGTTAACTTATTTTCTGATAGCTTAAAATATTAATAAAACTTAGATTTGTGCCATTTTGTCCATAGGTTTCAATTTTAGCTTTGATGGCACAACTTCACACCAGAACTTAAAAGTTGATGATTTCTCTGTTGAGTGGGACTCATCAGGTGGAAAAGGGCAGGAGAGTAAAATAAAAGGAAAAGAAAACAAGGGCAGGTAATTATTTTGCTGTATGTTCTTTGTTTCAGAGCAAGAAAGTTTGTACCCAATAAATCATTATTCCAGGACTGTAATATGTGAATCTACACTACTGCATGGAGAAATTAGTGTATGAATAAATACTTTTGGAAATATTTCTACAATGAGATTGCTACTTAAGTTTTGTAATGAAATGGATTAATCCTGTGGGTTTGTTGTACTAAAATATGACTATTTGGAACAACTTACTTAACACTGGGTACAGTATAGTGAACATTTCTGGTAGATGTTCTGAATGTTTGATCTAAAACGGGAAGCATTTGTTTTCCATCTTGTTTGCTTAGGCTTGCAGAATCCCTCTCCTCCAATGTGGTTATAGGCAATCATTGGCAATTTCCCTGGGCTTTTCCACTCAATTATTATAACTTTTGCAGCAAATCTGCAGGAAAATCTATATTAAGTTTGTTTTTGAGGCAAATCCTATTACAAAACAGAAACTAAAATAAAAAATTGATATCGAGGAGGAAGTAGAAGAATTTTCACTTGAATTTTCAGAGTACCTACATAATGTATGCTGCTAATCTACTTATCTTCCTCTCTTAGTGGCCAGATTTCCTTGAGGAAGAACAAAATGAGGTGAAATACGATAGTTGCTTATTTTGAGTTTAACTGGTAGCAGCAGCACACTGATAACCATACTTTCATTTCTTCTAATGGAAGTAGTATGGAACTAATCTGCTAGCTTTCTCAATTCTTTCAGTTTCCTTGTGGATTTGGAATGCGTGCACGTTGCAGTTGCATAAATCTACCTTGTATATTAACTCTGAACACGGGGATGTCAATCTTAATTTTCCAAGCTAATCTGATTGTTTAGGTTCAATATTTAGCCATATTATGACAGAGCAGTGCTCCTTTCTTGACCATTTTTTAAAACCAATAAACGTGTGAAAGTAACTAGAATTTGATCTTATGTACTTCAGAATTTGAGTAAGGTTATCAGGAATTATAAGACCCAATGTGATAGTGAGTTTTATTAAAAGGATAAATCTACTTCAGTAGGAATGAATCCTGCAATATCCAGTAATTTTTCTTTTGGATCAAATTCTGTATTACTATGGAAATGCATGATTTGAGCTGGTTGAACAACACTCAGAATTTTCTGTTTGCATTACGAGTGAAATTACTGTTTTGCAGATTCAGCATTGTGTTTCTACATGTTGAAACAGCAGTTTTAAAAACAAGAGCCCATTTAGTTAAATATGTATTTTCTTTCAACTCCAAAGATCTTAAGTGCTTTTGGAATAAATTTGTTTGGAGTAGAAATTATATTGCTATCTTCAAGTGGTTAAAACACAGTATACTTTTTTAAATATTTTGGTCTTTTTGGGTTAGAGCATACTGTTGGAATTTTCTTTAATGATCCTGTATTTAGGCAAAAGTGTTTTGCTTCCCCTCCCCAATACGTGTTAGGATTGTTCATGACTAATGAAAACAATTCAGGAAGGATTTACATGTATGAAATGTTTTGGGCAGAGGCTTCTTAAGGGTGGTTGTGGTTATCAGGCCTTCTGCTACGGTAAATAAGTTCTCTAAATAATTGTGTTAAATTTTTATTTCATATTTGAAAGCATGCCACAAATAAAACCTGCTTGCGCTTATCCTGTAAGTGACTAATTTCAGGAGCACTGGTCTGTTTCCCACAGTGAAATAAACCTAACCTTTGCAAACTGTTTCCTCTAAATGCTTGTTTTACAGCTTCAAATATGTATGTTGTTTGAAAACAACTAACTGATGGATTTCTTCAGAAGTCTTCACTTCACTTCTAATCATGTTGTGTTTCGTTTGTGATGATTAATAATGAGTACCATTAGTCACGTAATTTTTTTTGATTTCTCTTGTCAATTCCTCACCAGATTTTAATAAGGGACACTTAATAGGGAGTATTAGGCAAAAGTGAAGTCCTGAGTCGAGTATCGTTGAAAAACATTGATATTAAGCATGCAATGGCTGACAAATGGGGACTTATGAGCACTGATGTTCCATTGAGCAATGTGAATTTGTGGTGATCTGTGTATGATGAGTGCAGAATGTCTGTTAGCTGTTCAGGTTAAATGTTTGTGTGTTTGGGGTGAAGTGAACACTTTCTAGATGGCTCTTGATCAATCAAATCAAAACACTAATCTCTCTTTAATCTTCCTTTCTTGCGGAATCCTCCTTAATTTTTTGGTGAGTATTTTTTGTGTTTCGAAAGTTATACATTTGTTCTCTTTTTACTGGTGCATGCATCCACTTTTCTTCGCTGTACACCACCTGTTATTTATTTGAAATATCAAACATTGGAACTAATAATTCAGACTCTTGCCATAACCCTTCAGCATTACTTAAAAATTTATTTATAGAAACAGAATGTGTGTAGGCTGAGGGAGGATTGTGTGAAGTGTGATCGTATACTATGGCCTACTGCAGTTATTGTCATAGTCAGAGTCTTACAGCATGATAGAGACCCTTTGGTCCAACCAGTCTGTGCCGAACATAATCCCATATCCGTCCAAACATTTCCTTCTCGTGTCCCTATCCAAATGTCTTTTAAACATTGTAATTGTACCCACTTCCACCACTTCCTCAGGAAGTTCATTTCACATGCGAGCCACCATCTTTGTTTTAAAAAAAATGTCTTTTTTAAATCTCTCTCCTCTCACCTTAAAAATGTGCCCCTAGCCTTGAGATCCCCCATCCTACAGAAAAGAACACTACGGTTAACACACTCTATACTTCTCATTATTTTATAAACTTCTGTCAGGCCACCTCTCCAGTGGAAAAAAGTCCCAGCCTTCCTTTATAACTCAAGCCTTCCATACCCAGCAACATCCTGGTAAATCTCTGCTGAATCCTCTTCAGCTTAATAATATCCTTCCTGAAACTGGCAACTATGTAGTAATCTGAATCAAGCACTCCGAAGCTACTTGTAGTAAAATTGTATACAGTACACATGATTTTCCTGGCAGCTACTGCATTTCATTAATATTGCTGTGATCTCTTCTGCCTATGAAGCATTAAATGAGCAGACTTAAAAGTTAACAGCTTGAATGGTAAATGGTAGCATTTGATTATTAGGTGATTCTACAAGTCTCAATTGAAATGTAAGTGTCTGTTGGCTTGTTACTTTAGTTATGTAACGTTTTGTTACCGTTACTTTAACTGAAATTACTGAATGTAAACTAACCTTCCTTTCCCTTCCTTATTCTTTAGAAGTGGTACACCATCTCCAAAAAGAACATCCGTCTCCGGCCGACCAGCATCGGCAAGAAGTAACAGAGATCGTTTTACTGGTGAATCTTATACAGTTTTAGGTAACACTATTTTTATGTATAAGAATGGCTGTTGCAACTTTCCATTCTGAACGTTTCATGTCTATTTTTAACTTTGGTATAATATTGTCTAATAATAAATTAAATATTATCACAAGTCATTAAACCATGCAATAGATGCAAGAACATTCATCAAGCTTAGAAGATGGAAGCTAAGAGGGCCATATAAACAACTTTTACGAAGAGTTTGGTGAACATGTGCATTAAATAGTCTAAGAATGCAAAGGAGGCACGCAGAATTTTAAAGAACCGGAAAAGTATTTTGAGGCTGTGTGTGATTGAGAAATATTTCATTTTTAAGTGACCAACTTTGCAATATAGAGTTTCTAGTTCTGTACTTGTCTGTAGAGTTTTCTGCCCTAAATGTTGTACATTCCAAACGATCAATAGTGGTATCAGTGTTTTGCAAACATGGTACTGTATATACTGCCAATATTGTGCTTTTATGAGCCAATTCAACATATTTCCATTTGATTCTGAAGAAATAATGTTGATTTCAGAAACGCATGTGCAAAAATGTTATTTTGATTCAAAGATAAGTATTTAGCTTTGGGAATAGGGACTTTGAAGCTTTTTGCAAAGAATACACATTGCTGTTTTGAAGTACTAAATGTAACTCTTTCGAGATTGAAGTGATCATTGAACTTTTCGAATTATTTTGCTTTGTGAAGTTCGTTTTGTTGAGAATGAATCTGCAAAAGTGTCATTTATTTTGTTTTATCCTGAGAGTAGCAAATGGAGTCTGTTATTCTGAAGCCAACTTGTTTTTTGCTGGAGAACAACAAGCCTTTTTTACTTTTGAGGTATCTACATTTGGGGGTGTTGAAAATCGGAAACTGGTCTGAAACCAAAGTCTAGTAGATTAAAAACCTCCAGCTCCAGCTCCAGCTCAGTGTTAGTAAACCTGAGGTTGTTCTCTATTGGTTCCTTTATTCCAGGCTAAAATGGTGCAACTTCGCAACTATTGGTCTTTTATGATGAAGATATGAACAATTATTATGTACTTTCAAAAGGCATGGGTGAATGGATGAGGTGTTTTCTTGGTTTTTCTGTTCATCAGTTGCAAGACTTGATATTTCACTGAGTGAAAGATATTACAACTGAAAAGTATGTTTCTTTTTAAAAATCTTTTGCATTGTCTTCACAGGAGATGCACTGATTGAAAGTGGACAGCATTATTGGGAAGTGAAATCTCAAAAGGACTGTAAATCCTATAGTGTAGGCGTATCCTACAGAAATCTAGGAAAGTTTGATCAGCTGGGGAAGACTGTCACATCATGGTGTGTTTATATTAACAACTGGCTACAGACATCCTTTGCTGCTAAACACAACAATAAAGCCAAATTCATGGATGCACAGGTTCCAGACAAAATAGGTGTATACTGCGACTATGATGGAGGTAATTTTCTTTTTAAAAGACATTATAAAAGTATTATTCATATCCTTTAACAAAGCAAGTTTATCATTTTTCCCATTATAACAACTACTTTGCTATCTGTCAGGTAATCATTTTAATAGCTTTAACTGAATGATTTGGTAAACTTCAAGTGTAGGTCCTCATTCTCTCCTGCTAATATCTCTGACATGCATGATGACTTTCATATGGCTACAGTTTTCATCTCTGGCATCATTTGGCATTCTCTGAAGAATCTATTGAAGCAGCTGCTGTCTCCTTATCAGCAATCACCCCACTATCCTGTCATACGTTCTTTCTAATCTTCCCACTAACTGTAGCTGCAGATGGTTCATCTTGCTAACCTCCTCCTTCACATTCCACAAACCTGTCTTACCTGTGACCCGATGGATTCTCCTAGTATGAACTGTGTCCCTGAATGATGTACTCAGAATTTCTGTTCATGTGTAAACGAAATGTTTGCTGTTTTTGAGTATTTTGTTGATGGTTTATAATGACCTTATGGTCTTGATTGGGACTTAGTTGATGGATAATGACTCTCTTACTCTCTCACTGAAGCCTTCCTATCTGGCTTTCCTTTCTGTCATTTGTCTGCCCAGATGGGCAAATGACAGTGTGGCCCACATTACTAAATCATACTATGGTCAATCTTTCTATTCCCCTGCCATCTTCTACTCTAAATATTTCATCTAGCTCCACCACACTCATCTGTCCATGTAAATTCACTAATGTCCGTCTAAGTACCCTGCCCGCTTCCTCACTTATGCATCTTCACTTCTTTCTTTCATCAGCCTCTGCGGTAGTGATTTTGCATTCTTCACAATTTCCACCTCCATCTCAACTCATCATATCCTGTCTGAATGTTTTGTTATTCTTCCCTCCACATAATGAGGCCATGTTGATTACTTCCTTTAAATAAAGTTACTGACAGTAGCTGGAAGAACACACCAAGCCAGGCAGCATCTGGAGGAAAGGAGCAGTCAACGTTTCGGGTATTAAAGGGTAATACCCGTAACATTGACTGCTCCTTTTGCCCAAATGCTGCCTGGCTTGGTGCGTTCTTCCAGCCTCCTGCTTGTCTACCTGGATTCCAGCATCCTGCAGTTTTTTGTCTCTAACCTACTTAAAATAGCTACCCATTGTACTTTGGCCACAACATTCCTGCAGCTCCTGCTCTACCCATTGATTTTTACCACGTATTTGTCCCCATTAAAACAATTGTCTTTCTCATCTAAGTTCTGTTAGGCATGGCTGAGTAACACTCTTGCCTCTGTATCACATGGTTTGGATTTAAATCCCATTCCAGAACTAGTTGACACTCTGATGTAGTGCTGCTGCCTTGGAGGTGCCATCCTTTAGATGACTAATTAGAACCATCTGCTCCCTCAAGTGGATGTAAAAATCCCACAACACTATTTTGAACAGAGGTCTTATTGTTGCCATAATCATAAGTATTCCCCCATTCATTGTCATGAAAATGGATTAGCAATGCGATAAACAGGTTTTGTGAGAGTTGCTTTGAGCAAATTGACTGTTGCCTTTTTTACATCACGGCAGTGACCATGAATCAATAGCATCACTTGGCTGTAAAGCACTTTGAAACGTCTGGTTGTTGTGTAAAATGCTATAGAAATGCAAATCCACTTTCTTACCTCTCTCTGTTTCAAGATCGTGTTGGACTGCCACGACAAATCCCAGCTTCTTATTTCAATATAAACCGTTTTTAAAAAATCTTTCTCCCTTCTCTCCTTCAGCAAAAAATACTAGGAACACTGGTATCTTTGTCACCAAGACTGAGACCATCAAATCAACTAGCTCTGCCCCTTATCTCCAGTGTCTGAATTCACCAAGACAGACCTCTGTTAATGTTCTCTCCACATCAATCCTACCTTAGCCTTGAATTGTACCTCTTTTTGAGTTATTCTTTTTGAGACCCATCCTCTGCTCACTGTAGGTGGTTGAGCTGGCTAGATTGGGGGTTTGGTCATTCTGTTATTGACTGACTGGTTTATTTGTATGGGAAAGTGGAAATCTCTTAACTACAACGCTAGCTCCCCTGCAATATTTCATAGATGCTTAATCTGCCTTTTAATCCCTAAATGGCACACATTGCTGGCACCAGACATGTCCTGTACACCTCTCATTTATCCAAATTAAACGCCATCTGCCAATCTTTGGCATGTTGGCCCAATTAATCAAGATCTCTTTGTAATCTTAGCCTTCACTGCCGACTATGTAACCAATTTTGGAGTCATCCGCAGACTTAATAACCATGCTTCCTAAATTCTCATCCAGATTGTTTATGTAAATGACAAACAACGGTGGACCTAGCACCAGCGCCAGCAGGATACTGCTGGTCACAGGCTTCCAGTCCAAAAAACAACCCCTCACCATCACCCTCTGTCTCCTACTGTCGAGCCAATTTTTTTATTCAATTGGCAAGCTCACCCCAAGTCCTGAGTGATCTCACTTTACTAAACAATCTACCATGCGGAAACTTGTCAAAGGCTTTACTAAAGTCCCTGTAGACAATATCTACCATTCTGCCCTCTGTCTTCTTGGTCTAATTCTCAATCAAGTTTGTGAGACATGATCTCCCACACAGTAAGCCATGCTGACTATCCCTAATCAGTCCTTGTCTCTCCAAATGCATGTAGATCCTCTCTCTTCGAATCCCCTCCAACAACTTCCCCACCACTAATGTCAGACTCATCTGGACCTATAGATCCCTGGCTTTTCCTTGCAGCCCTTCTCAAATAAAGACACAGCATTAGCCCATTTCCAGTCTTCTAGCACCTCATTTGTGGCTGTCACTGCCAGACCTGAGTTTATCCAGCAATTTGATTTCCAGCATCTGCAGTTCTTTGGGTTTTTTTTTAGTCTTTAGGCACAAGTTCAATTATTTTTCCTGACCATTGTTTGAGGCTGAACCAAATTGGTCATAACCTTGGCAACCTATTTGACCTTGAACTAAACTTCCACCTCCACATCCTTTCCACTAGAATCAAACAATGCTGGAACAATCAAATTAGCAGTATCTGAGGAATGGAAGAGTTAATATTTCAGGTTAATGATCTTTCATCAGATCTAGGAAAGATATCAGATTTGAGCAAGGAATGGGTGAATGAAGCATGAAGATAAATCTGTGGTAGGGTGCTGGAGAAAGTGAATGACAGCCGGTCCTACAGGACTGAATGGAATGGAGATGGGACGAGAAACTGACAACAGCAGGTAAGCTGCTGTCAGAAAGCAGAAAAGGAAACATTAAAATGCAAAGAAAAGGAAACTGCATAGGTTAGAAGGAACATTCCCATAGTTCTGGAATTTCTTTCCTAAAGATTTATGCTTATCCTTTTGATAGCTAATTGAGAAGTGTAGTTAACACAGGAGAATGCCTTGCTGCATTGTGCACATTCTTGCAGAATGAGCCTGTACATTACAAATTAATTTCAATACAGATGCGTTTGAGCTGGTATACTGTGTTTAAATAATGAAGAGGCTGCATACTGCATAGATGATGGAAGTATGAATGTGATGAGGGACCACAGGAATATAAGGCTACAGACTGTGTGCACAAATCACTAAAAGGGGTCATTGAAAGCTAAAGGTCATAAAGATTAGTCATGTTTTCTCCATCAGACTTGCATGAGAAATTTCTCTGCTCAGATGTAAGAATGAAACTTCTAGTTGAAGTAAACAGGGTAGGAGCATCTGAAGGGCAGCTTGAGAAGCATGAGTAAAAGAAATAGGAAAATATGCTAATAGAATTAGATAGTGAGGGAAGGCTCATTTGGAGCTTAAGTATCTGTAATTGAGTTGAATAGCTTGTTCCTCTGCTTGTAGACTCTCTGAAACCCTCTTGAGACCCTCTTTAAAATTTACCATAACCAAGTTTTTGACTCCCAAAATGTCAGATTTTGATTGCTTCACTAATGGGTTTTATCACGTGAAGGATGCTATCAATTGAGTTAAATAAAGACTTGTATTCTGTAGCCTCTTTTCCAACAATGGAGGATCTCAACACTTTAGAAACAGCACAGGACCATGAACATTACAGAGGTCATTCATCCTATTGTGCCTGCAGTGGTTCGTTAAGTGAGCATCATTATCTAGTGGGCATTGTTTCCTTGAAATTGTCACAAAGCTGGGTGAGAATGTGAGCAGCGATGTTTCAGTGTGATTTAGACAAATTGAGTGAGTGGGCACATGCATAACAGTTGAAGTATAATGTGGATAAATGTGAGGTTTAGTATGCTTGCCTTTATTGGTCAGTGAATTCAGTAAAGGAGCTGGGAGTGATGTTGTGGCTGTACAGGATGTTGGTTAGGCCACTTTTGGAATACTGCATGCAATTCTGGTCTCCCTGCTATAGGAATGATTTTGTGAAACTTGAAAGGGTTCAGAAAAAATTTACGAGGGTGTTGCCAGGAAGGTTTGAGCTATAGGGCGATGCTGAATAGGCTGGGGCTATTTTCATGGAGTGTCGGAGGCTGAAGGGTGACCTTATAGAAGTTTTTAAAATCATGAGGGGTGTAGATGGGGTGAATAGGTGAAGTCTTTTCCCCAGGGTAGGGGAGTCCAAAACTAGAGGGCCTAGGTTTAAGGTGAGAGGGGAAAGATTTAAAAAGGGCCTAAAGGGCACCTTTTTCATGGAGAAGGTGGTGTGTGTATGAAACGAGCTGTCAGAGGAAGTCATGGAGGATGGTATAGTTTCAACATTTAAAAGGCATCTGGAAGGGTATATGAGGGGTTTTGAGGGATATGGGTCAAATGCTGGCAAATGGGACTAGATTTATTTCGGATATCTGGTCGGCATGGACGACAGGGTCTCTTTCCATGCTGTACAGCTCTGACTGTACGACTGAGGTTATCCACTTTGGTAGCAAAAACAGGAAGCAGCTTATTATCTAACCGATGATAGAGTGGGAAAGGGAGATGTGGTGAGACCTGGGTGTCATTCAACACCAGTTGCTAAAAGTAATCATGCAGATGCAGCCGGTGAAGAAGGCAAATGGTATATTGGCATTCGTAAAATATTTGTATCTCTTTAATTCCCCTGTGGATTTGATCTCCTACATCTTTTCCACTCGGTGGTTTAGACTACACCTAACAATGCAATTATAGTCTCTTTGTTCCTTAGTTCCAGCTGAATTGATTCTGTGCTTGAACCCTCTGAAACATTCTCTCTATCCAGTACTGCAGTGTTGTCTTTAACTAATACTACTGCAATTCCTTAACCAATACTGTTGCCTCTCCTTTCTTTTCTATCTTGCCTGACACATTATACTTAGGAATATATAACGCCCCAGTCTCGCCCTTCCCTAAACCAGATCTATGTTATTGCTGCAGCATCAAAATCCCAAGTGGAAATCTGCACTTGTAAGTCCCAAATCTTATTTACTATATGCCATTCATATACACGCACATATGTGTATATATGTGTAGTAACCCTGATTTAGACTTGATTGCTTTTCTCCCTCCTTCTACTTTCACCTTCTAATTTGCCACTGACCCTGCTAGTGTCAGCTGCATCTCTAATTATTTTGTGAGCCTTGGTCTCTTCCACTACTATTCTCCCTTGGTTCCCACGCTTCCACCAAGTTACTTTAAAGCCTTTCCATTAGGACTAGCAAAGCATCCTGCAAGGATACAGTCTGTCTGGCTTGTACACGTGCCATCTTTTCTACAGCTAGTCCTAGTATCTAAAACCTCTCTCCTGCACCATCTTTCTAGTCGTGTAATTTTGAATTATTGTTGTAACAGAAAAAGTAACAACTAATTTGCATAAGATAGGTTAATCTGCTCTTGATGTTTTTTGAGGTGAATATTGACCACGGTACCAGTGAAATGTCTCATGTCACCTTGGACACAATATTGTGGGATATATTTTGTGCCAATTTGAGAGGGCAGATGGGACCATGCTTTGATGTCTCATTTGAAAGATGCCACCTCTAATAATACAGCACTCCTTGGATGCTACGCTCTAGAGTCAGTGTCTAATGTGTTCGAGTTCTGAAGTGGGGTTTAACTCGTAGTTCAAGGTGAGGTGAGAATATAACCACATATCATCAACTAAAATGTAAGATTTTAAGTGGCTTAAGTGTTTTGTGTTTGTTTGAATATCTGATGGGTCTTGAGTCAAGTATGAAGTCTATTTCAGAAAAATAAATTTTAAATGTTCGCGTGTAATTTCACATTTTGCTTTTGTTTATAGGCCATATTTCCTTTTATAATGCTGATACAAAACAGTTATTGCATACTTTCAAGACTAAGTTTACTCAACCAGTAATTCCAGCCTTTATGGTGAGTGAATAATCCATATGCAGAAGGGCAGTTTTGGGGAAGGGTTTGTGTACTGTTGTGAAAAAAAAATCTGATTGTGTTAAACAATTCTAATTGTACAAATAAAAGGAAAATTACAAAAAGTGCATGAAAATTAGACCGCTTTTAATCTTGTGATTTTTTTTTTAAAAAGAAAATGCTAATGCAGAGGAACTATAAAAGGCATTGGGGTGAAATTAAAAAGAAATTAGAAGCAGAAAGAGAGCATCAAAAAAACTAGCAATTAAATTATAGAAAATGTGACTTTTCTGCAAATGTGTTAAGAGCAAAAGTATAACTCCAGGGCCTATCAGGAAGAACAAGAGTAACATGTATTTGGAGAACATTAGAATAGTTAGTGAATACTTTGCTACTGTTCACAAAAGAGCAGGACTGGGAGATGTGTAGAAATAGGGAGAAGTGTTAAATTAACACCGTGTTGGGGATACAATATCTTTCAAAGTGATAAATCCCCATGCCTGATTAAATGTTTTCTCTAATTTTGTCAATTTTTAATGCTTCCTTTCCACTTTTCTATTTTTAAAAATTTCATCCCAATGCCTTTTATACTCCTCTGAATTAGCTTTTTTCATATTGCTTTTAAAGGAAACAGTTTGGCTGCAGGTGTGATACCAGAATAATGGAAGATACTAATGTTGTACCATGGTTCAAAAAAAGAGAAAAGGGATAAATGAAGCCACCCAGTCTAATCTTGAGGAAATGATTTGAAAAATTTGAGGAGCAGGATGAATGACATGAAAATCACCTGTCAGTGGGGCTTTAAAAGTAAACGTGTGACTTGAGTAATATTAAACTTTGAGGAGGTAACAAGGAGTGTTGACGAGGCTAGTGTATTTGATGTACTCCTTACACATTTAGAGAGGCTTTTTTATGTGGTCTCACACAATAAACTGGATAGGATCGATAGGCAATATAAACCCAAGATTGGATCAGGCTGGATGCCAAGTGTAATGGTCAATATGTGGCCTTAACTACATGGCTGTTTCCAGCGCATCTCTACATGTGTGGTACCAGGTCCAGTTTGTGGATATATCAATAATTGGGAGTCAATGTAGGGGATGTGATTAAGAAATTTGTGAAAGATGAAGAACTCGGCTGTGTAACTAAACATTGAGGAAGCTGTACCCTGCAGGAATGTATCAATGGACTGACAAGGTGAACAGAACAGTAAAAATGGCATTCAGTCTGGAGGTGAGGGAGCATATGGTTGAGGAAGGCTAACAAGGCAAAGAGCTATACAATAAATCGTAGAAAACCCGAAGTATAGAGGAACTTTGGAGTGCACGTTCATAGATCTCTGAAGGTGACTGAACAGGTAAACAGGATGAGCAAGGTGGCTTAAGGGATACTTGGCCTTTACCAGCCAAGTAATTTAACATACGTTGGAAAGTTGTGATGAAACTGCATAAAACCACACTAAGACATAAGGTGGAACGCTGCTTGCAATTAGTTCTACAGGCAGATGTAATTGCACCAGATGATAGAGAAATTTGATTGTTAAAAGATTGAATAGGCGAAGGTTGGAACAGGGGAGGCTGAGGCAATTGCAGGGTTGGATGGTGAATAAAAAGGCTCAATTTCCCTTTAGAGGGATCCATTACTAGGTAGCAAAGATTTAGGGTGAGAATTAGAAAGTTGAGCTGATTTGAAGGGAAATATTTCTCCAAGAGTGTACCAGAATATAAAGCTTGTTGCCTTAAAGGAGAGATGGAAACCTCAACATTTTACAAAAAAAAAAAAAAAAAATGCTTTGTAGGTTATGGCATTCAAGTGCGTATCCAAGGTTAAGGGCTAAGAACCAGAAAGTGGAGTTAGGCCAGAAAACTCTTTGTTGGCCTGTGTGGACATGATGGGCAAGGTGACCTCCTGTACTGTAATTTTTATGAATATTCTATAACTGTATGATGGAGGTTGTCAGATTCAAATATATGCTGTATAATGCATATTTTTGAAGATACTGATGAGGAACAAAGATCTCATTTCTAAAAATAAAATGAGTAGCTCTTTATTCTTGAGAATTTACAGTAGGCAGAATAATAAAATTCTTTAGTCCTTTTCAGCTGCATTTGTATGCTCATGTTCTTTTTCATTTTAGGAAATTATTATTTTGACTTTTTCTCCCCTTACAGGTCTGGTGCGGTGGTCTAAACTTGTACACAGGACTCCAAGTACCGAGTGCTATAAAATCCTTGCAGAAAGGAGACGGCGGATTGGGTGGTTCTGAAAACAGTTTAATTGGGCTTGCACAATAGTTTTTCTATGAGACTAATGTACTTAGTGATGTGGTTTTAACTCCTCATTGAAAATCTGTGCTGTCTAAGAAACGGATGCGTGGATACAGCAGACCATTACCACTCTGGTCTTCCTTTCACATCCGGTTACAGCAAACATTTTGTGTAATATATAAGTCAAGTTCTGTATTGTAACTCAGGGTTGCATCTGTAGTCAGCCATGTGTTGTTAATCTGTATTCATGAACTTCCAAAAAACATTTGTGTAGTGTACATACACTACATTTCAGGGTTTTAGTTGTCATGCACATTCTGCATCCATACTGTTGTTGCTTCAGCCGGAAGGAACATGTGACATGTACAAAAGAATTGAAGGTAATCCCATGGTTTAACCTACAGAACTGACTTGCAATAGATAAGCTTGAGAGTACATCACGCCTAGGATAAGTTCAGAGAAAGAGAGTTCAACTGGAATGTTAGGGCATTAAGCCTATTGAATTGGAATCTTTGGTAATGGAACTGAAGGCCTTGATTGTACCAGTATGCAGATAACACCAAAACGTAATCTTTAAATCTCCCTTTAGTATGTATGTGTGTAAAGCTGCCTTATTTAAAGTAATATGATACATACAAAGGGAATACAGAATTATAGCTAAATGAGCCATTTATTGGAATAATTATTAGTGAGCCTTTTTATTATTTAGTTTGAGAATCAGTTAAACACTACTCAGTAGAGGTGCTTTATTGCAGTTAGCACGGTGTGTGCAGCACCACCACAATTAAATTTCCAGGCACATGGAATTCAGAATTCGACGTGGCTGCTAGAACAACTCATGGAATTCGTAAGTTTGCTTTACGGTCCATCTTAACTAGGACTGATCATTGATAACCCTTTAGAAGTAGCTGACTTTAAGTCACTTGAATTTCAAACTCAATGTGTATATTACTTGTATAAGAATGTACTGAAGATGTTGATAAAGATGGAACGGCACAACTAATCGACCTGGTCTGGAAAAAAATCTGTAGCCCTTTACACTGTGCACAGAGAACAAACCTTTCCCTAATAGTGCCTATGAAGTCTGTTTTCGTCCAAGGTCATGTCAGCAATACGAGAGTACTGTTTTTTTTAAAAATTGTCTTGACTGACATATCTTGGTCTAGTAAATAAATTTGAGAGCTTTTAATCTTTTTTGCTTGTTGAATGTATAATTTGAGACTTAATCTACTTGATAGTTTGTTTTGTATCATATAACTGACTGCATTCCAAAATTTAAAGACTGCCTTTTATTGGGTATTGAATTTAACCCTAATGTAAATTTGAGCCAGTGATCTAATTTATTATTGTGTATTATTTTATCAGTTTTATATTTTCAGGCAACTTGATTTTCTAGTACCATAAAAACCACACTTCAAACCATTCCCACAATATATGCTACTAAGGACTCATCAACATCAGTCCAATCTGCTAGAACGCTTCAAGTTTCTGATCTCGGGAATTTGTAGCTTAAATCTGTATTCAAATTGGTGTTCTCAATGTTGAGATTCCAAAACGAAGGGGCCTTGATTCTCCATGACTTGAGTTTCGAAATGATCTAGCAGACAAAGCATAACTGTCATAAAGAGTTTGTCCCATTGCATCTCTGTAATCTTAGCTTGTATTTTGAATCAAGTAACCAGTTAATCAGTATCCAAAAGTGAATGTAATTTGGAATAATAATACCCATTTTAGGACTGAAAACTTCTTTCCATTCCAGTTTCTTGCTCTCTTTTAATACCTCATTTGATTTTTTTTTCACCAACAATAAATTCTTATGGTTCTTTTGTCAATATTTGTTTTTGCTAGGTAACCTCAAGTAACTTTAGTGAATTCCCATTGATGTTAATAATGGGAGAGGGATTTTGGAGAAATATTCACTGGTGCTGTAGACCAGTTGTGTGTTAGATGGTACTGGAATGTAAATAGCTAAACACTGAAACATGCATTTATTGGAGTTTGTGTGGTTTCTGTCTGAGCTATAGGACATCAATCTTGGGACTACGAAAGTATTGAAATGAACTTTCAACAATTGTGAAACACAACGCAGAAAAGTGTTGAATATTATGTTTTACACTGAATTCATCCTTAATTGTATTGCACCTGACTTATCAGACTCTAAAATAGTATCATAAGCCTCTAGGGTGGCTTAACTGAGTGTGCAGGTACTGGCTTTTGACCACCATTGATCAGCAAGGCCTGATCTTTTTTGGTACAAGCTATCAAAACTGAAAATATAGTGCCACCTACTTAGTTGTAGAGTTAACTATGGTTTTCATTATACTAAATATATTTATTGTGCATGGCTTCATTGCAAAGAAAATGACATTCTCTCCCATATTATCACCTAGGGACAGAGCAATAGCGATTGTTTTAGTGCAACAAAACATTTATTTCGTACAACAAAAAGTCATGCTTTTTATTGGCATATGGTTCATGGTTCATGGCACCATGTCGAGTTTGCACCTCCATCATTGTGATTTTTGATCCTACTCAGTAAAGCGGAGTAAACGCTTGTAATATGATTCATACATGTGACTTTACAAAATGCATATACAAGAGCAGGGATTTAGTGTTGGAATTTCTGCACAGAAAGATGCTTATTAAGAATCTCAGTTAAAGTTTTACCCTGTAATTGCAGCATGACTTCCAAAAGAGTGGGAAAATTCTATGCTGTCTTATGTAAATGTTGACTTTGTTGCAACAGAACCACTGTTTTGAACTTTGCTGCATTTTTGAGAAGTACAGCAAATAACTCTGGATTATTTCTCTCTACAGGAAGGGGCTGGTCTTGTTCCTGTCCTTTCTGCAGTTAGCCCTCCATCTGATTAAACAATGCAAGATGCCATAACTATGCAGACCACTTCATAGTAGTTAAATATAAACCAAGCAACATAGTTGTCCTATAGAGAAAATGCTGCAAAAGGAAGCAAACCCCATTTTTTCTTCCATGTTTTCCCCACCTTCGTGATAATTCTTGCTGAGTAGCAAATTGACTCTTTGCCCATTTAAATAAGAGGCTTTTCATTTTTAATACATCACATGGTGTACTTGTAGCTAAGTTTTTACTTAGAATGTAAACAACTGGGAAGTGAAGTGAAGGCCTGTGCTATATTTGCTTACTATGCAGTTTCAACAGTGGTCAAGGTTGAATTGGAGAAAAGTACCAAATATACAGAAAACTGATCATGCCATTTATACAATAAAACCTGATTTGAAACCAGCAGTCTTTAGCAAATACTTACATTTACTACTTTATAGTCAATTTGGTTACATTGTGAGACCATTTTCTTGGTGGTCAGGAACAATGCCCGGGTGAGGCTGGTGAGAAAATGTAAATTTGTTTAATTTAATTTGTCAACTTTTGCAGAGTAGGCAATCTAAATAAGAGGTCCCATTGCACACACGTTTTTAACAAGATGGGGTGGATTAACATAAGACCGTATTCAATTTTGGACATGGTATTAATACCAGCACTCACTGCATATTTTGTTATTTTAATAGTTGGATGAATTGAGGGTTTTGCCTTGGTCTTTGTACAGTAGTACTAGTCCTTACTGTAGCCAAAATTGTACAGGACAAGCAGTTGGAAAGGCAAGTTGTGTACAGGGTACAAACGTCGAGATTTGATTGTTTAAGAAAGTGGTCAAAAAGTTGGCAAATGGAGTGTAATGTGGTAATGTGAAGTTTTCATTTTGGAGGGGAGAGCAAAAGGACAGTATTTAAATGGAGGGAAACTGCAGAAAGCTGCAGTGCAGGGAATGAGTGAGGCGGGGGCGCAATGGTTACATAAGCACTAAGCTAGCACACAGGTGCCTTCCTGTTTTTGCTCCCCAAGTGGATAACCTCACATTTATCTGCATTATACTGCATGTGTCATGAATTTCTGCACTGGCACAGCTTGTACAAATCACACTGAAGCATCTCTGCATCTTCCTCACAGCTCACCCTCCCATCCAGCTTTGTCATCTGCAAATGTGGTGATATTACATTTAGCTCCTACATACAAATCATTAATACATATTGTGAGTAGCAGGGGCCCAAGCTCTGATCCCTATACTACTCCTCTAGTTGCTACCTGCCAGCAATCTTGTAGGGTGTGAGGAACCCCTTTATTCCATTGACTTGCTCGCTGAGCTGGCAAGTTTGTTCGTAAACATTTCGTCACCATGATTGGTAACATCAGCACGCCATTGGTGTTCTGTTCCACTTGCTATTTATGTGTCTTGGTTTGTTGGGGTGGGTGGCATCACTTCCAAATTTGTTTCTTAGTGGTTGGTATATGAGGTCAAGTTATTTGTTAATGGAGTTCTGGTTTGAGTGCCAGGCCTCCATGAATTCTTGTGTATGTCTTTTCTTGGCTTGTGCAGGGTGGATATGTTGCCCCAGTGGAATTGTTGACCCTCTTTGTCTATGTACATTGAAATTAGTGATAGTTGGTAATGTCTCTTGGTAGCAAGTTGTTGTTCATGAATCCCGATGGCTAGTTTCCTTCTGGTTTGCCCTATGTTTTACTTAGAACATAGCACAGTACAGGCCCTTTGGCCCACAATGTTGTGCCGACCTATTATTCTACTAAGATCAAACTACCCTGCATGCCCTACGTTATACCGTCACCCATGTGCCTATCCAAGAGTTGCTTAAATGTCTGTTTTGATGACACCTTTTGTGATTATCAAAGTGCTAAACTTGAAATAACCCACCCACTCAAACAGCATCCTCACCGGCATAAAATTCACCAGGGAAGAGAACAACAACTGATTTCCCTTCCTGGACGTAACGGTCGAACTTAAGGCCAACGGTGAGCTCCAGACCAGCGTACACAGGAAGGCCACCCATATGGATCAGGTACTCAACTACAATAGCAATCAATACCCACAAACGGAGCTACACTGTTCAAGCGAGCCATGACAAACTGAGTACCCCGGAGCTATGCAAAGCCGAGGAATAATACCTTTACACCGTATTTAGAAACAACGGTTACCCAAAAAAGTGTAGTACATCGACAACTACACAACAGGAAGGCACAAAATATCCAGAGACACTCATCACCCTACCATAAATTAAGGACATATCTGAAATGACCACCAGATTACTCCGCCCCTTAGGAATAGTAGTAGACCACAAACCGACAGTTACGAGAATAAAGGATCCAACAACCACAACAAACAAACAGAACCAATGTTATTTCCAAGATACCATGCAAAGACTGCCAGAAACGAGCCATCAGGATTCATGAGCACCAACTAGCTACCAAGAGACATGACCAACTATCACTCCTTTCAATACACATGGACAAGGAGGGAGACTAATTTGACTGGGACAGTGTAGCCCATCTTGGGACAAGCCAAGCAAAGACATGCATGAGAATTCCTGGAGGCTTGGCACTCAAACTGGAACTCCCTTAACAAACATGTAGAACTGGACCCCATATACCAACTGCTAAAACAAGTCCGGAAGTGATGCCACCCGCTTCAACAAACCAAGACAAAATAGCAAGCGGGACAGAACACTGCTTCACTGGAGGTGCACTGATGATGTTACCTAGCATGGTGATGAAATGATTGCGAACAAACTTGCCAGCTCAGCGAGCAAGTCAACAACTCGAGCTATAAATTTTTTCAAAAATCTTAAACCCCTTTATTCTGACAGGGGGGCCTGTCAAAATTTAATGTGAGAACAAAGAACAGAGTTATTTAAATAGAGAAAAACTGCAGAAAGCTGCAACACAAAGTGACTTGGTACTTTGCAAGTGGAGAAATGTAAGCAGTTTTGGTCTCCTTATTTAAGTAAAGCTAATTCATTGAAGGCAGTGCAGAGAAGATTCAGACTGCGATGATGCCTGGTATGGTGTATTATAATGATTAAAAGTAAAATAGGTTAGGACTCTGCTCAGTGGAGTTTAGAATGAGGTGAAACAAAGGATTCTTAAGGGGCTTGACAGGATAAATGATGAGAGGATGTTTCTTCTCATGGGAGAATCTAGGAACAAAGGGCATATTCTCAGAATAAAGGCGTACCAATTTAAGACTGAGATGATGAGGAATTTCTTCTGAGGGTTAAGTGTTTGGAATTCCGCGCCATAGAGAGCTGGGAGCAGAGTTCATGTATATATTTAGGTCTAAGATAATTAGTTTCTTGATCAGTAGAGGAAT